TGCTGACTTACTTAAAAAGAATCCCAACCCTTCTCCTGCTGTGCCAGAGCCTGGGCTGGCCTGAAGTCCTGAGCCTCGAGTGCCTAATCTCAGGCTGAAGCTCCAGCCTCACTAACTCCAGTCCTACATACATGCCCCGGAAGATGAGCACCGGGAATACCAGCGATGACAAGAACAGCGGTGATTTCAGCAGATAACCTACTGTCAGGGCCTTGAAGAGGACTGATTCTGTGTTTTCAGCAGCTGCCTAAGAAAGGTGCTCTGTGGTTTCCCGCCGTGGAGACTCAGTGCTGGGGGGAAGCTGTGCCGGTGGATTTCTACCTGTCCCGGGGGTGCTGGCAAGTGTAGCCTTCCTGTCTCTCCGAAGGCGACAGCCCTGCGTCCCTTCAGAGATGCCGTTTAGGGCTCGGAGGTGGGAAGTGAAAGGACCAAAAACGTCCTGAGCTGATTGTTGGATGTTACAAGTTAGAACACTTCTATTTAGTATTTACTGGGTTAATACTGTGTAGTGAATCACATGTTTGTTTATGACCTATCTGTTTAGAGAGCTAGAAAGCCCGCCAGATTGAGATCTAGTTTGTTGTCCTGATTGGGGAATGAAGTGGCTACTATTAGCATTTTATGACCCTTTGTCCGAGAGCAAGAAGAAGCTCCAGTCTCGTCCTGTCTCCATTAGTCTTAGAATGAGTTAAGATGTCTTCATTAGACCTCTGCCATGTAAGGGACCTAAGTCAGCTATCTAGATGTGAGGATGTAGAAAATAAAGCTCTTTGTTATTTTTCATCCCGTTTACCCTACCCATGTTAGGTTCTAGTAAACTTTTTATATTTAAAACTACCATGGACTCAGACTCATTTATACTCTGCTGATTCTGCAAAACTCCAATACTGATAGATGAACCAGAAAGGGAGGGGCAACCCCACAGATTCCACTCGGCCTGCTTGAAACGACATCGCTTCCCAAGAGGCCCGTTGCTCCTTTTCACGCTGGACAGAGGGCAATCTCAAGAACGCTTTCACGGGAGGAGGCCCCACTGAATAGACCTGAGTAGACCTGTTTAAGATGGTACAGTTTGTTTGTTTTTTACTGAAAGGAATGCAAAGGAGGCAGCTGCTTCCCCAGGCGCCCTCCTCCCTCTCTCGCCTTCGTCCCCCCCCGTCCCCCCGCGCCAGTGGAAGAGCAGATCCCGCTCCGCCCGCAGACCTTGTTGTCCCCAAGGAACTCTGCTGCATTTCAGCCCGGTTTCTCCCTGCCTCACAGAGGCGCAGTCGCGGAAGAATCGCCTTTCTTGGGCCGGCAAAACTCTCCCCGTGGCGCTTCGGACCCAGACCGTCCGGGCTCAACCTACACTCTTTAGTGGAGGGAGCGGCCCTTGGCATCTGTGGAGGATGAGATCCAGCGATCCATGCGCAGATCATCCGTCGGACCATATTTTCTGTAGTAAAAGGGGCCCTACTTTCCTTCCTTCCCCGCCCGCGCCAAAGTGACAGCCAAGTCAACCTTGGAGACGCCGAGTTCCATCCTGATTTGGGGACTTTTCTAAGAGCGTTAATCCCGATCTTTACCTGGACCGAGTTCTAGAAAGGCTCCGGGAGGATTGTGCCGCGTCCCCGTCCCCCCCGTCCCCTTCGAAATGTTAGACTGACATCAGGGGAGAGGAAATCTAATTTGTCGAAAATGCGCAATTCCGAGGGCTGCGCCAAAGGCGGCTCATGGACTAGCCCTGCCAGGCTTCTCGGGCGCTGAAACCCCCTGCTGTGTTTTCCCGAAGGGAACGAGCCAGCGGACAACCGGGGCTCGTTTTAATGTACGTGGCTCGGTTTGGTTTGAAATCCGGTCCTCCTGCCTCCCTACTACCACGGGGCACTAAATCCCCGAGTTTAGTGCTGGAAGCGGATGAAATATTTTGCTGGGCTGTCGTCCTGCCTGGTCAATTTCTGGCCAGTGCTTCCAGCCACCCGGATCTAGGCAGAACACGCATTATAGTTTTCCCGTATGCGCATCTATGTATCCATTTGCCCGTTTGTCTGCCAGTTAAGCAACTGCTTCATCAATCTGCTCTCCCTAGTCCGGGAAAGTTTGCGCCACAAAATTAAATCTTAGCCTTGTAGGCGCCTTGCTCTATTGACTGCCTAACCCGCTGGGGCAGACCCAGAAGTCAGCGCTCTGCGCTCAAAGGCCCGGAGCAGCTTGTTTGCGCTTTGAAGAAAATGCGCAAAAGCGCTGGGAGCGCACCGAAGGAGGCGTGCGTGCGGGATTCCTGGACGCCAGGGGAAGCCCTTGAACTCACGCTCCAAGAAACGGGTGAAAAACCGCAGAAGGGACGTGGCAAACCTCCGTTCCAAGTATGTTTCCGTGGAAGGAAATCCTCGGCTTATTTTCGGACTCCGTTTCCAAAGTCTACGGGAAGCAGTAAGGGGCCAGTGCACAGGGGAAATCTGGAAACGCGAACCCAAGTGGCTGCGCGCGGCGTCTCCGCTTAATCCTATCCGGCTCCAGCTAATGATTTAGTACCAATTAATACAATCCTATTTGCTGTTTGTGTTTCAAATAAGGGAGGCAGATATACATTTTATTTAACAATTTCCTGTCGTTTGGGGGTGTAAAAAACCCTTATTGTACACAATTTTTAAAAAATATATTTTCTTCTCTTTTCCCTTCCCAGCACTCAAATGGAGATTGCTGCAGACTCAATGAGGAAAATCTTTTTGTTGTTTTAAGGTTAGGATCGTAAACACGTTCGCTTAAAATTAAAGTTTGACGAAATAACATTTTCATTTATCTTCATGAGATTCGTTTTCAAACACGCTCGTAAATACTGGGCTGATAATCAGATAATTGTTTTCGTACAATTGCTTCTAGTAAATAGGACGAGTCCTGTTGTATTGAGCGTGCTGGTCAGGAGAAGAAAAGCATTGGGGAAAACCAGAGATGGGAATTTATTAAAATGTCTGTTTATTTATAAATCTCAAATGTCTGATACGGAGAGAGGCCAGCTGCCTGTTCTCTACAAACGGCGGGCGTGTGTGTGCAAAAGAGCATCAGTCTTATGGACCACCTATCCAGGGCGTCAGTCTGATTCTCCAGCTCTCAAGGCTGATGCGTCGCACCGAAGCGCTGTCTCTGTCAGCAAAGGCAGACGAGATCCCTTTGAACGTATGAATGCACACTTGAGCATGTGTGCACCTCGACAAAAAATATTTTAAGGCCCCCAGCGAGACGTTTTTAAGACCCGCGGGCCTCAGTGCGAGAAGCTTAAGCGGATGCTTAAATGAACCAGGACGTGAAAGTGAATTGCGCCGACTGACAGCTTACCCAAGACTTGAGCGCGATCCAGTCAAAAGTTAAGCACAGTTAAACCCCACTGGTTTCATCGGGAGAGACTTAAGCATAGGACCTAAAGAAAATGCCTCAGCTTGGCTGGATCGGCCCAATAGACTCTACAGAGCGAAGGGTGCGGATTCTGGGGTGTTCTTTTTTTCTTCTTCCCTACACAGAAAATGTTTTTAATGGGAGAAAAAATCTTTATTTTTCGTCTTCCTCTTTTTTTTTACATAAATAAATAAATAAATATCTGCTGATATTACAGACAACAGGACAACCACACGCCACTGGATAGGAGAGGAGGCTTCCCTCGTCTCTCTCTCTCTTTTTTAAAGTACAAACAAAATAAACCCTTTGTTGTCCATCTATCTCATATTTCACACAGGGCGGGTTACCGTGCCCCTCGGGAGCCTGCGAAGGACCCCCCCCCCGCCAGGTTCCACCTTCCCTGGCAGGTGGGAGGAAGAGAGCGGAGACTTTCCCCAAGGCCCGGCAGGCAGGCGGGCGCCGGCTGTTCTCTCTGTTCCCCGCCCTGGTCCTCTTCTGCCCCGGAGAGCGGCAGGTCCCGTCGGCCAGGCCCGGGGCAGTTCCTCTGGCTTCCCCGCAGCCCAGGAGCAGAGCGACACCCGAAGAAGGGGACAACAGGACCTCTCCCGCCTCCCCGGAGCTACTTTTCACAGTATTTACACAGAGTTCAGCCCTGCTTCCCTGGGGGGGGCAGCGGGGGCCCGGGGGCCAGGAGTCTCTCGTCGGACCCCCTCCCCGTCCCCAAGCGGGTCAGGCCGTCGGGCACTGGTCGAAGCGCGGAAGAGGAGCCTGCTCAGGGGGTGAGGGCGAGGTCTCGCTCGTCTTTGCCCGACGAAGAGGGCGACATGGGCAGGTCATCGTCGTCGTCTTCGGGGCACTTGGCGGCCGCCGACAGGGAGGCGCATTTGCAGCCGTGCGGGGCCGAGCCGCCGGCGCGGTGGGGCCCGCCCTTGCCCTCCTTCTTGTGCTTGACGCGGCGGTTCTGGAACCAGATCTTCACCTGCTTCTCGGAGAGGTTCAGGTAGGTGGCGATCTCGATGCGCCGGAGCCGCGACAGGTACATGTTGGAGGCGAACTCTCGCTCTAGCTCCAGGAGCTGCGTGCTGGTGAAGGCCGTGCGCATCCGCTTGCTGCTGGGCAGCGGGCCCGACGTGCTGTCTGCGAAGGAGGCAAAAAAAGGCGCGCCGTCAAGCCAGCCCCGCTCCAAGCCAAACCTTCCCCCCCCCCCAGGTGCCCTCGACTGGCCCTAGGGAGCCACAGGAATCCCGGAGAAACCCACGTGGCCGGGGTGCGAACCAGACCCGACTGCGCTTTGAGGCTCGCAGAGTATCCATTCCCGAAGCTCATTTGTAGCGAGAAGAGGGGAAACTGCAAGAGCTGGACCTTCTCCTCCATTGTGGAGATATGAGTCAAAGATCCCGGATCTCTCGCTAGGCATATTCATAGTACCTATAATCACCCGCCCTTCCCCCGCACCGCTTCACGCCCTCCTAGGTAAGCTGCCCCAAGTTTAACCCTACAAAGGCTGGCACCCCAAGAGGCAGCCGTAGCCTTTGTGTGGTTCCTCGGAAATGCTTCGGATTCACCCCCTGACAAGTAGGTTTGCGCTGCAACAGCCCAACGCTAAGCAAAGCCGCATTCCTCTTAAATCCTTGGAAGCCGGTGGGTTTAGGAGAGCGTCACTCTGCTTCGGAGGGCCCTGCGGAACGGTTCCCTCGCAGGAGGCTGCTCGAGAGGCGCGGGGGGCGCAGCCTAGAAGAGACTTGGCGAAGTCCGACCATGGGCATGCCAGATCGTCGCCACCGGAATGCCGCGCCAAGCACCAGGTCTCTTTGGAGGCTCCTGAGCTTCTTGGCTGAGCCTTAGGATCTACTCCCAAAGGTGCCGCCACTCAAATAGTTGTGATTTTTTCGGTTGCTTTCCCTCGGGCTCGGGCCTAAGGACATTTGCTCTGACCAGCGTGCTCGACCAACCGCCCTATTCCAGGCGCGACGCACCAGCCCGAGAAGGACGCACCCCCTGCGCCCAGTCCCTTCGCTCTTTCCTCGGAAGTCCGCTCCATTCACCTCCCTCTTTCTAAGTCCGGCGGGGAGGCTTTGGGCTGCACCGAGGCAACCTGTCCCACCCCAATGCGCGCCGCCCCCTCCCGCGGCTCGAGTGCCCCTTTCCCCGGAGGGCGCCGCCTCCTCCCCCCTTGCCCCCCGAGCCGGGCGACTCACCGACGGAGATGCAGTGGAAGTGCCGGGGGTCGGGCAGGGGGTAGGCGCTCTGGTAGAGCCGATGTGGCCCCCGGCGCGGCCGGGCAAGCGCCCCCGGAGGCTGCCGAGAGCCCGTGGAGCGGGTGCGAGGGGTGCACCGCGTAGGGGAAGAGTGGCGGCGGCGGAGGACTGCCCGGGGACGTGGAGCCCCCCTTCTTCTCGCTGCCGCCTTCGCGCAGCACCAGCGAGTCCACCAGGAAGGAGCGCGGCATGACTCCGCCCCGTCCAGCCTTGCCTGCGCCTTCGCCCGCGCCTCGGCCTCCGCTCGGCTCGCCTGACTGGCCGGCTCCTGCGAGGGCGCTGACCAGCGCCAGTGGTGCTGAAAGGGCCGCGGGGCCCGCTTTAAATAGCCCCGTCGGGGGCCATGTGATGAGGACGACGCCGGGAGCTGCCCGAGCCGCCGTCAATAGGCTTTTTGTGCCGCGCCTTGGCACCGCCGCTGCGCGCTCCCTCATTGTGCCCCCGGCTCTCCAAAGGCGCCGCACAATGCCCCCTATTCTTGTCCGCCCCACCCACGCCTCCCTCGCGGGCGCCCGGCCCCCCTCCCTCCCCGCCGACCCTCGCCCCCCGGCCACTCCATTGGCTCCTTCGACGGCGCGCCGGCTTAGACTAGCGAAGGAAGGGGACGGACCGGCCCCCTTCTCTTCCTTGCTTTTCGCCTGGGGCGTTGATTCCTACCTCTCTGCCTGTTGATCTCGACTTCCCAATAACACTTAGATCTTAGTCACTTTCATTTGGAGCCTTAGCATGGACCTCGTTCTGCCCAGATTAGTTATGATTATTTATTTCCTGCACTGGTTTGTGAGCAGATGAAGGGGCTTGCACCGAGTCAGGCCCTTGGGGGGCCCATCTGCTTCGGGCTTGTTTCCTCTAACTGGCCTTTGGCTCTCCAGGGTCTCAGGCAGACAGTGTGTTCTCCCATCCCAATGCACTGCCCCCTCTGCTTATTCCTGCTTCTAGTACAGACTGCCCCACATGCCTGTACAGTTGACATAGAACTATATGATGACAAGCAGCCACAGTAGTGTACTACAAAGAAGTGCAGTAATGGGCCACTGCAACTATTCGCCTTCATCTAATGCCATCAGAAAGAACAGTATAGTCAGGGTGAGATGAAATCTTTACCCGGCATGGCTTAGAAACTACATTTTGACAGGGGACAGGCAATTTACTAGCACTTACTTCCAAGTAAACAGGCTGGGGGGGCAGCTTTTCTTGGGAACTGCACCATTATTTTGTCAGTGAACCTGGTGGAATGGCGATTCCATCCAATCTTGTCGGTGTAATCTGTAGAAATGAACGGGATCTCCCTCTCCCCCCCTTCCCCCCACGGGTGTAGCAGAGGGTTGTGCTAGGTTGTCCTTTGTGCTAGGAAATTCCTTCTTAATGAATACTGGGAGCCCCCCGGCCTAGTAGTTAAGAGTGTTGGGTTCGGAACCGGGAGACCCAGGTTCCAATCCCAAATCTGCCCTGGAAGCCGGCTGGGCGACCTTGGACCAATCGCTCCCTCTCTCAGTCTAGCCTGCTTCACAGGGTCGTTGTGCTGATAAGGTGGAGGAGGGGGACGACTCTGCTGTAAGCCACGTTGGGTCTCCCTTCGCGAGAGAAGCAGGGTAGGAAACGAGATGCTCTTTTTTCCACCACAAGAAAAACAAAAGGAGGTGGGCTTTTGGCTCGTGAAAACTAGAATGAAAATGTGTTCGTCTGCAAGGGACCACGAAACTCCTGTTCTCACAAATAAAGACCTCTACGGAATGATGATTCCCCCTCAATGATTTTTCCTTACACACATTTTACATTTTTTAGCCTTGAAGAAAATCCTTCCAGACTTCCCTACAGCACCCAGCAGCAGCCTGGTACAGTCGAATTAACACGCAAGGAGGGCACTTCGGGCGGTCTCCCCACGTTCGCTGGTTTACACGGGGACGCGGCGGGACGAGCAAAGAAGGACGCAGAAGAGGCAGCGAGAGCGAAAAGCAGATCCTCCGCGCCCTCCTGCTTCGGAGGAAGACCATCCCCATCCTTGAAAGCTTCAGGAAGGGAACTACAGCGGGCGATTCCGCTCTCTCGGGCCATCCCGGACGGTGGTAACACGCTCACCGGGGAGTAAACCCCGTCGGACCCAGCACGACTGACCTTTCACTACCCAACATGTTTGTTTGCAGCGATGATTCCTTTTTTCCAAAGGGTTCGGTTTTTACAGGGTTTTATGTTGTAGCGGACAGTGGCCAGTCTGACCTTCGTCTCCGCCCCGAGAGAAGCCTGCCTGCCCCGAGTCCTTTAGAGAGAGAAATAACAGCGAAGAGGTCTTAAATATCGAAGTCGTTTGAGGTACTCGAAGAAGCGCCTGGCAGTTCACGCCCGATTGTAAAGCCTCGCTTAGGCCGCGGTCATCGCGCCCCGGGGGCTGCCGTGTGGCCGGAGCGCGACGCCCAACCCGCTGCTTCCCCGGGGACGCTGCTGCTGCTGCTGCTGCTGCGGTCACCTCCGGCCCGGGTCTCTCGCTGTGTCTGCAGGCAGAGGGCTGCGGCTGCCATCCGGACACCCGTGGTCAAAACGCACCTGGCCCGGGGAGCCCTCAAGGGGCTCTTAAGACTCCTAGCGGAATTGACTGGGAAGCCAAGCCCACTGAGAAGAGCGGGACCTACTCGCGGGTAAGCCTGTTTAGAATCTAACTCCAAAGAGAGTGGATCGCTGTCGAGGCAGCGCCTTTTTCGTTGAGGAGTCCATCCCTCCCCCGCAGCTCTCTTCCTGCTTCTCTTCGGTCACCCGCGAGCGCATAGTCCTGCAGAAACACATCCACACGCGTTCCTGTCGCTGCACCGGACACGATCTCGGCGTGGAATAAAACCTGCGAAGAAGATTCTTTTATTTTTATTTCTTAATGGTTCCTTCGTTTTCCTTGCCGAGGAAGATAAATTAAATTCCTATGTGCAGGTTATACTCTCAGAACAACCCCCCCCCCCAATCCTTCCATCTATCTTTTTTTCCTGAGGATCTCTAAAAATCGAACCCAACACACACACACCCCGGGGGGTCTGTATCTTTAACCAAACACTAGGCACCTTTCTGCGAAAGCACTGATTTCCATCTGGGCAGCTCAACGCTGAAATCAAAGTGCCTGACTTCGGCAGAATCGTGCCCATTGAGTGAGGGAGAGCATTCCCCCTGTCTTTGTCTTGGCACGCTTACTCCCCAGCAAACTGCGTTGGTTAAAGAATCCCTCAACTCGAGCTAATGTTCTTCGGCTTTGCTGGGGGGGGGGGGGATTTAGCTCCCCACATATGACCTATTAGTCGCTCTCCCTTCCGCAGACACCAAGCGCATAGGGGCGGGGGATCACACCTGGCTCCGCCGTGAACCCTACAAATCATATGAGACTTTAAATCCAGGGGCTGTATATTAAGCAGATTCTTCCTATTTTTCGTTAAAGCCTGCAAGAAAAACTCGGCCAATGCCTTCACTTTAGAACGCACGCTGGGAAGGAAATCCCATTGATTTCATTGAGGGTTTCTCCCCAAGTCTAAGTCGATCTGCTTCAGGCTGCTAGAACACCCGCGGCAGCATCGAATGCACTGTAAGGTGGGTGGGTGGAGAGGTGACCCTGCTCTTTGCCCCGCTTGCTTTAGCCAGGGATGATGGTGATGATTTTTAACACACACACCAGCTGAATGTAGGAAAACTACCAGTGCCTGTGGGTTGTATGATCCTAAAGGCATTCGTGCCCTCTTTGGACTGAGCCTCAGATCTTTCGGCTCCAGGCAGGCAAAGGGTTAACAACCCCTGAATGCGTACCAAGCCCAAAGCTACTGGGAAGGAATATGAATGGGGAGAAAAATAACCAGCTTGCTTTTTTTTTTTTTTTTCTCTCTCTCTCTCTCTCTCTCTCTGCAGCCGCTGGACCTTATTGAATGTCATTGAAGAAAGTTTTGAATGCCAGATAAAGAGAGGCGAATTAAAGTGTGTGACAGCAGAGGATAAGCAAACACAAAGGGAACTCTGTCACACTTTGGGCAAAATCCGTGGGCTTTTTACCCAGCCTCTTCGCTATGATTGAATTAAGTAATAGGAAAACATTTTCTTTCAGTTTAGAGCCATTAAACAAAAACTTCAAAGCCAAGAACACTTTCTAATGTGCGGCACTACTCCCCCACCCCACCATACCATGCCGGGCCGGGCCCATGGAATCTCAGGTTTGTGGTGAAATGTTGGAAGTGGTTTCATGTGCAAGCTGGGAGTTGGAGGAAGGGACTGGGGCAAAACTGACTCTCCTCCTCCAGTTCTGGCTTGAGGAGAGCTGAAAGCCAGCAGAGTCCTCCAAATCTGGCCTTGGAACAGGCTTTTCCCAGACACGGGTTTGGTGAGGACTTGTGTCTCTTAGCAGGGGTCTGGGTTTGGGATGAAGAGTCTGAATGGGCCATGATCCAGAGGAAGCCAAAGAGAAAAGGAACAGAAGGGTCCTGAGAAATATATCCCTGCAACTGCAGCCACTGTCTGTGTTGGAACTGCAAGTTGCTTACACTTCAGCCATTACAGAGTTAAATGTTGCTTGTTAGCAAACAGGATGTTACGTTACATAATGTATTCAATGGCGGGAAAGTTTGTGGGAGTTGTTTACCCTAATGAAGTGACCTGTAACCTTTGTATTGGTCAACTAACAACTTGTTTGTGGAAATGCTTTGATCTAGCATTAATGTATTCACAAGGTTTATGGCCCTTTGTGTGAACCAAAGCTGTAGTTCTCTTCTAGAAGCCAAGACACATAGAAAGATGTGGCTGTTAGCATATATTACTGAGAGTAACTGCAAGTATGTAACATTTTATTTCTTTTATCCAAAGTACCATACCCATGTTTTATTTTGTTTTTATAGTAAAGATATTTTTCTTTTACCAAGTGTGGCTCTTGTGTTTGCAATATGACCATCGACCTTGAATTAAGAATCCCAACAGTCTGTTTATTTCTGTTCTGTTTGTGCTAAGAGATGTATAGAGCCCTGGGGGTGTCTTTACCTTCCCCAGAGGGCTTAACAGGCCTTCACGGTTTGTGACTCTATGGGCCAAATTCATTCCATCAGCCTTGCACCATGGCCTGAAGGTGCTGGCCCCTTCCCTGAATCTGCAGGGAATCCCAGGTAAGCAGGGCAAGCCAAAGGTGGATAAAGCCTCTATACATGGTGGGCAAGCAGTATTCACCTTCAAATATACAGAAGCA